GGTAAGGAAGAGGAGAAGGAAAGAAAGAAGGAAGTGAGAAGCGAGGGAGGGAGGAAGAAGGAAAGAACCTGCATGAGAGCTGGCCTTCTATCTCTTAGACCAGTACTATTGCTAATACAACACATAGACAAGCTGATAAGGGTATGCTTCAAAAGCATATTCACAGGAAGTAAGATTTGGAAGTGACAGGACATTCCCAGCACCCCTCACATCATCCCACACATGAAGCTATGTCCCCAGTTGCCAGGTAAGGTTGGACCCAGTGAGGGTGTGGCTGTCACCAACTCCTTATAGATTAGCCTAGTCACTGTCCATCCTACACAGCTGGTGGTGTCAAATAATCTAATAGCTGGCTGGTGTTGTGGATCATAGAGCCCCTCCCTACTGAGGATTAAGGATGTGTAAGTTCAGGGGCTATTCAACTCAAGCAAGCTCAAGCCATCAAACACCATAACCTTCAGAGTATCTTGCATGATCTTCCCCATAAGCCCTAGAAAGTGGCCAAGTTGGTCTTAGCTCTATTTCACATATGAGAAACAAGAGATAAGGAGGTCACCCAGCGGTCAGGTGGTCAGATGGGATTCAAATCTAGCTGGCAGTTCACAGAAGAGGAGTCCAAGTCCTAATTCTTGACTAAATTCCTGGCTTTTTCTGCATCACTATGGCGCTCCCTCAATCCAACGTGAATGGCAAATCGACATTGTTACAATCATTTCATATTCTCTTATCACCTCCAATCATACCTGTCGCACAGAGAAAATGTATTTAACAGGGTAAACCTGAAGGCCGCATGGACTGCGGTAACGTCACTGTTCCAAAGGAGCACTGTGTCTCCTTTCCTAATACTGAAGATGAGAATACCATCACCTTCTCGCTCTAGCTATCTAAGTTGGCTGTTGCAAAGCTTAAACGAAACAACCGAATAGAAAAGAACTTTGAAAACACAGGATTGGGCATGCAAATAAGGGCTCCCTCTTAGAAACAGAGACCGTTTATAAATTCATGATCTTCCTTAGCTTGAAGCCCTGAGACCCGGCAAATGGAGCGGGCTCTAGAAATAGTGTTCCCCTTGGATCTTCCCTTGCCAGTTAGTTGAGCTACCTCTAACAGACTGCAAGGGAGCGAGCCCCATACCAACAATGCCGGCTCTGCTTCCAACTCCGGGCTTGGTACACACCCCCTGCTTTGGTTTATCCTCTTAGCTGTGGGTCTGCTCCTATCAATGTAGCATTCTGCTGAAGCAAAAGTCTCATGCCCAGCTGTCATGACTTAATGACATCAATCGCACCCAGCAAGCATCCAGGTGGACTGAAAAAGGCTGTCAGTCCCGTGTGTTTTTACAAACATGCATGTCCTTGATCTCCTGCAGGTGCAAGGCCACAAACAAGCACCCTCAGCCCTGAGAGGTGCCCTTGGGGCAAAGTGAAATGCACAGGAGTAGGTTTGGAGCCATAAAGAGGACAAAAGGAAGACGGAAGCACAGAACAGAACAGCAGAGGCAGGGAGAGAGGAAAGGTGGGCACGGGCGATGGGGATGGGGAACCCGTCCCCTCAGCCATCTGGAAACCCCTACAGCCCTAAGCAGCTTCTCTCTAAGGGTCTTCAACTCCTTGGGAACCATGATCCCTTTGAAAATCGCTCTTTAAAAATATGCATGCACAGGTATATGTACCATCTTGCCCACAATCTCCAAGGAATTGTAGTCTTCCTCCCCCAACAACTGATCTGAGACTGCAGCCCTATCCAGGCCCTGCCCATTAGGGCAGCCTTACTGGAGCAGCAAGGGGGCTGGACTGCCGGTCTGGAAGCAGGGAGGGGTGTTTAAGGGGGAAGGAATGAATGTCATGATGCTGCCCTTTGTCTTCTCACAATAACTATTTCCCTTAAATCACAGCTTCAGGAATCGATCCAGTAAAAAAGACAAAACTGGGGCACCTAGGTGGCTCAGTGGGTTAAAGCCTCTGCCTTCGGCTCAGGTCATGACCTCAGGATCCTGGGATGGAACCCCGAATGGGGCTTTCTGCTCAGCAAGGAGCCTGCTTCTCCCTCTCCCTCTGCCTGCCTCTCTGCCTACTTGTGATTTCTGTCAAATAAATAAATAAATAAAATATTTTAAAAAAGAAAAGAAAATAAAAGAAAAAAAGACAAAACTGTAAGTGCCCCCAGGCCAAACAGATAGAAACATAGACAAACAGACAGGTAGATAGATAGATAGATAGATAGATAGATGAAAAAATAAATAGCCCTTCCACTCCCCCACAGAAAATACGGTCATACTGTCAGCGTGGACTCCCTTTGCCTCCACCACAGGACTTTTAAAATTACCACAGCTTGAACAAAGTCCACCAGATGTCCATTTGCTCTTGGAAAAATAATTCCAATCGGATAAATTTCTCAAAAGGTGATAATCCTATACCCCTGTCTAGCCAAATCAGTCTGTCCGTCTGCTTCTCCTGGCTGCAATCTGCCTCCATGTAGGAATTTTCCATCCCCCTCTAAACGTAACGTCATGCAGAAGACTCAAAGGGAAAGGTAAAAGGATTAGTAGATTGATCGATAGAAGATATTAATGCTCTTTCATGTTGGGTTGAAGAAGGATTTGAGGTCATCAGGAGAGAGGGTAGCGAGAGAATAGACCTCAAGTATTCAAAAGACTCTCTGGATTAAAATCCTATTAAAGTCACATCAGCTTCTCCAGGAGGCATTTTAGAAGGTTGGGATTTCTTTAACATGTCACCATAATTAACCTTCCCTTAAGCTGTTTTGGGTGGGGAACTTTAGCAATTAAGAAACTGGAAACTTTCATTTTCTATCACCCACATGGCCTTTTGAATGGTTTAAAAACGGGAGTGGAAAGTGGTTTAGCCTAATTGATTCAAGGGGTTCAGTTCTCCCACTTCAACCTGCTGTCAAGCTCACTCCTGATATCTGAGCCCCTCCAAAGAAAGGGCATTTTTGTTGAGTGAAAGAACCAAAGGTTCAGATCTACCATAATGATATTCTTCCTCTAATCATTCTCGCACTGAGTCCCATGAAAAGAACAGCTCTGCAAAGGGATGGTTGTTTTCCCTAGAAGGATCTGTTTCTGGGCCCAGACTCCAGGTCACAAAACCAAGAAACCCAAAGAGGCACCCCTCTCTGCTGGGGCAAGACTGTTGTTTTAGCACCGTTAGCACACTGAACAACTGTTCTGTTCCATGGACACTGGGGTCAGGAAACTGTCTCAGATGGGGGCAGCCTGTAGGGGCTGGAATGATCAACCACATGAATAAATGAAATGAGACACGTGTTGTTTTCAAGGGTTTGTCTTACCAGGGTTGTCTTCACTAGGTCATATGTCAACCCAGTTCAAAGTTCAACCCCCTGCCAGATTCCATCACCTGCCCTCATCACAACACCTGCCCCTGGACTATTTCACCTGGGTGTCTCCTCACACTCGTCAGCCCGTGAGCACCTTCAGAATGGGTCGTGTTGAGCCTTTCTACCCCCCCAGCCCCTATCACGATGCATGGTACAGAGTGGTGCTTGACACAGGCTTACCCGTAACCATACAGAATTCACTCTGTGCCTTAAGGCAAGTCATGGCCTCAGTCTTTTACAATGAAAAATTAAGGGGTCTGTTGGACTGAACGACCTCTGAGGTCATTTGGCAGTTCTCAGAATCTCTGAAAAAGTTGTTGTGTACAGGCTGGCTTTTCATGGCTCCTGTGCTGGGCTCATGATTTATAATAACAGTGAAGGTAATGGTAAGAATAGAGAACATCTATTAAACCCTTAATCACCATCTGCGAGGTTCTCGATGCTCCACCGGTATTATTTCATTAATCCTACGAGGCCGACTCTTGTTACCCCCCATTTGATACAGTGGGAGATTGTGAACATCAGTCATTTGCCCAAAGTCACACCAAGTGTAGGGCACCTTGGCTCTGGAATCTGGACTTCTAACTATTCTTGCATGTTTCCATTAAGAACTTCCTTTCTGAGCCTCCAATTCAGGCTGCCCACCCTTCAGTTGATCTACATGTGTCTTCCCTGGCTCCCCAAGGAGCTGCCTGCCTGCTCCTCAATTGCTTTGATTTCCTACCCCAGGACCCCAGCTGGCCCAGCCTCCACCTGCTCCAAGCAGAGGCAGAGTTTGCCCCAGGATCCAGCAGGCCCTTTGTCCTGAGGGCCTGCAGCTCCTGTTGGGAGCAGGTGGCCGGAAAAGCAAGAGAAGGCATTCATCAGCAAAGCAGTTCGGGAGGTGGAAGGGAAGGAAGGCAAATACGGTTGATCTCAAGAGGAATTCCAAGTGCCTGCCCTTCAGTGACCCGAGCCCCTGGGCTTGGCTTTCTATGCTCTGCAGGGGCAGAATCCGGGAATAAACTTCCCCGTCTTGGTAGCAGCCACAGGAGGACAAGGGGAGGAAGAGAAGAGAGATCTCCTAGGAAGGCTTTGCAGGTATCGTTTAGAAAATGTTTCAATGGCCTGTACAAAGAGGTGGGTCTTCTCTCATTTTAAGGCATCTCTGCCAATTAAAATGTTATTTTCCACTACAGAGTTTGAAATCCTCTTAGGTCCCAGTCTTCACTGTTCTGGCAAAAAAAAAAAACTTTAATAGTAGAACAAAGTGTTTTGATTATTGAGGAAAAAAGAAAACAGTTCATTTCAGCAATCACACTACTAAGTATTTGCCCAAATGAGTTAAAAACTTATACCCACACAAAAACCTGTACATGAATGTTCATAACAGCTTTATTCATGATTGCTAAAATTTAGAATATATAAAATTGCAGCAAGAGAAAGAAAATTACTAATATAAGGAATAGTTATCTTAAGGAAGTGAAAAAAAAAAGCATATTTATTAAATGTCTAAAATGCTAGGTACTCCTTTAGGTCCCTAACATACTTCCTCCAGCTTAGTCCCCTGCAGTGGTCTATAAGAATAGACACTACTTTTGCCAGTACTTTTTGAAGAGAATGCCAAGTTGCTTGTGTTGCAAAATCCCTCTGTTCCTTACCTGTGTCTTTTGTCTTATCCCGAGAAAGCTCATGGACAGTGGCACCGATGTCATGCCTCAAAATCTTGATGATGTTTGCCAGGACAGGCATGCTACGTTTATCCAGATAGGTAAAAAATTCATATTCATCTTTCTTTAGGCGTGAAGGTCTGGATTCAATGTGGGTCAGGTTTATATCATTCTCCTAGAAAAGAGAAGTAGGAGTGTGAAGGGGACAGTCACTGGAATTAACACAGACAAAACACACACAACTAGAGGGGGGCCTGGGTGGTTGGTTAAGCATCCAGCTCTTTATTTCAGCTCAGGTCTTGATCTGAGGGTCGTGAGTTCAAGCCCCATGTTGGGGCTGGAACCTACTTAAACATGCACACACACACACACACACACACACACACAACCAAAGCAAAACACACAACACAATAAAATGCGGAGAGAGAAAGAATAGGACTTTTTTAAATATAAGAGTAGAAGAAAGTCCTTAAAGTAACAAAAGTTGTTTACTTCTCTGTGCAAAACCAAGTAATAAAAGGTGGAGGAAAAAGTGCAAATGCTACAGAAATCTGCTAAAGGTTTAGAGTTGCAAACCTAGGATTTTGGTTTGGTTCAAATGTCTAGGGCAGAAGTTGGCAAAAATGTATACACAGGGAAACCTCCTTCTCAAATGAAATCCCCTGGAATCTCAATAATAATATCTCAGTAAATTAATAATACAGAAGCAACATTGCCCAGCTTAAATAGGCTCCCCAGGAATCAGGCTTATTGGGTTTAAATCAGAGTTCTCTATGGATTGTAAGATTAGACAATTTGCTTTCATGTTTCTAGTGCTCAGTTTTTCCATCTGTAATTTAGCAGTATTAATGATACCTGCTTCATAAATGTGTTGGGAGCATTGGTTGACATGTGTATGCATAACCCCAGGTACATGGTAAATGCTCAGTAAAAATTAGCTAGTATAAAAATGGTAGCATAACTATCTTTCATATTTTTATATAATTAATTTTCTTTCTTTTTTTTTAAAGATTTTATTTATTTATTTGACAGACAGAGGTCACAAGTAGACAGAGAGGCAGGCAGAGAGAGAGGAGGAAGCAGGCTCCCTGCTGAGCAGAGAGCCCGATGTGGGGCTCGACCCCAGGATCCTGAGATCATGACCTGAGCAGAAGGCAGAGGCTTTCACCCGCTGAGCCACCCAGGCACCCCTATATAATTAATTTTCATTCAGGTTATACAACAAATGTAGGTAGTACCTCTCAGGTACTGATCATCCTTCCAGGTGGTTGGTATGTATCAGTGAGCAAAACAGACCAAGATCGTTTCCCTTATAAAGCTTACATTTAAATTGAGGGAGACAAATAACAAACATAAACTATAACTAACTGATTTATGTATTATGTATTTATGTATTATATTATTATTTATATTTTATATTATTTATAATATTTATATTTATTATTATATATTATTATGTATTATATTAATTATTATTATGTATTTATGTATTATAATGATTGTAATGGAAAAGCCCAAGGGAAAAAAAAAACACCAAGCAGAGCATGGTGAAGGGGCTAGGCAGTCCTGGGGGTGGCGGGGGGAAGTGAGGACAAACTGTAGAACTAAATAAGGTGGGCACATGAGGCTTCATTGAGAAGGGAACATTCATGGACATGTGGGTTTTATTAAAACAGTAATCACTAAAGCTACTCAACTTCCATGTCTTTGACTATCATGTTTTATTTATTATCAGTTTTGTCATGAAAAAGAAAAAGTCATTTATGTAACCTGATCCTCAAATTTAAATGCATGGTAGTCATCTGCTTCTTATTCGGAAAGTCTAATTTCATTGACGGACTGTCCTTTGTGAAGAAAACCAAGGAATATGCTCTACATTTTCTTAAAACAAATAAATAATAGGGGTTATCCCAAACACTTAAATGAATAAAATAAAAAAAAAATCTAACTTGATTGATTCTATAATTCCGAAAAATGAAATTCATCTATCTTGTAATTCAGGAAATATATTTTTTGGAGGGTGGGGAGGCAGAGGGTAAGGGAGAGAGAAAATCCCAAGCTAGCTCCACACCAGCGTGGAGCCTGATGCGGGACTCAATCTCATGACCCTGAGGATCATGACCTGAGCCAAAATCAAGAGTAGGACACTTAACCAACTGAGGCACCCAGGTGCCCTAAGAAGTATATCTTTATCCTTGATTGTTAAAGGCATGTGGTTGAAGAGAAAACATGAAGAATTACAATGATGACACTTTTTGTTTTGATTATCACCTCACAGTTTAGAATTACGTTCCATGGCCTTCCGAAAAAGGCTTTGAGTAGGTTAAGGGAGTTGTAAAATGTGAAATCAGAGATGATGATGCTTTTCCAGAAGTGGCTGGAGAGTCATTGGTGTTCTGACCCACCCTGCCTTCCTGCCAGGGATATCGTGAGAATTCTGCAAATATCAGCTTTTATCATTATTATTACTAGTGTGCAAAGCACAAAAACAAAAAGTTCTGGGTATGGCAAACCAATAAGTAACCCCACACATGTACTCTTACTGTACTTTCTTCCTCATAATCTGAGGGCACATGATAGAGCCATTGTTGCTGGGCACCAGCTTAAAAGAATCCAGCCTGGACAGTGATGGCCAGGAAGCCCAATGTGAGGGTCCCACCTAGAGAGAGAGAGAGTGTGTGGAGGAGGGAAGACCAGAGAGATAGCAGTTGCTCTGAAGCTTTCCAGACAAACAGAGGTAACTCCCTAAACAAAGCAAAGAGCAATGTCATCCTTCTTGGCTCAGAAAGAAAGAGAAGCTCCACCTACTATTTGCCCAGGTTGAAAGTTTAAAAGAAGAGATAACCTGTTCCTGCCTTGTATAAAGCAGAAAATACAGCAAAGCCAAGAACCAAGAGTGGACACATCTCCAGCATGCTTGTTTGCAAGAATAGAGCAGGTTGATGGAAGGGGTGAGAAAGGTGGGAGCTGGAGAAAGGTCTTGAAGACTGACTATAGGCTGTTGTGTTCAACACCAACCTTCCGCCCTCCACAAAAGCACTTCCAGAGAGAAGACTCTCACTTTAGGAATAGCCATAAAACAACATAGGCCCCATGACTCAGTTTTTATAAGGCTGGAGATCAAACTTATGGGGAAAAAAATTCACCAAAATTCATAACTTAACCAAACTCCCCACAATAGGGGAACAATTAGGAAAATTATAGTGGAATCACTCGTGGAGATTATGCTGCTTTTGAAAAGCAAATAACATTCACAAATCAATCAATATGATACAAAATGTTTAGAAAATTAGAAGCTTCCACCCGTTAATCCCCTTCACTTATTTCTCCTGTCCCCCAATTCCTAGGATTAGGAATTAGCTTCTAATTACAAAATAATAAGTCATGGGCATGTAATGTACAGCATAGGGAATTAGTCAATATTACTGTAATAACTGTGTGGTGACAGATGATAACTAGACTTATGGTGGAGATAATTTTGTAATGTATAAAAATATCAAATCACTATGATGTACATCAGAAACTGATAGACTGTTGTATGTCAATTATACTTCAATTAAAAAAAAAACTTCCTCTGCCCCTCAACCCCTTACCCAACTCATGCTCTCTCTCTCTTGCTCTCTCTCTCTGACCAAATAAATAAAAGATTTTATTTATATATATATGTAAATTATATATAATGTAATTACATATGATCTACAATGGTATTATGTATAATATAGTTATATATCACATATACTTAAAATTAAAGATTTTATTTATTTATTCGGTCAGAGAAAGAGAGAGCACAAGCAGGGGGAGCGGCAGGAAGAGGGAGAAAAAGGATCCTCGCTGAGTAAGGGAGCCCCATGCAGGACTCAATCCCAGGACCCTGGAATCATGACTGGAGCTGAAGGCAGACTCTTAACTGACTGAGCCACCCAGGGGTCCCAGTAAATAATATCTTTAAAAAAAATGCTTAAAGCAGTATCAGTAATCACTCTAAAATATGTTAACAATAGTAGTCTATAGACAATGGGCCTACAGATGATTTTTGTTTCTTTCTATTGTTTTCATCATAGTTCAACTTTTCTAAAAACAACACTTAGACTTTTACAAAGAAAAATTAACATTGCTTCTTAAATGGTTACAATGACAACCACTTGGGAAAATACTTATGATGAATTTAAGTATGTGATAACTATAACATGTTTTTAAAAAAATTATGCCCCAGGTCAAAAAAAAAGGAAGAAAGAGAGAAGGAAAGAAAAAAAAAAAAAAGAAAGAAGACTAGAATAAAATGCATCAAAATGAGTTATTATGAGATTATGTACAACTTCTATTTGTTTGTCAAAAGACTTACAATATTACACATATAATGAAAAGAAAAATATATCTTTTAAATGTGAGTGAAGTTTTTGGCTAAGAACACTCCACCAAACTCTCTAAGCTATTTCTTTCCCATTTGAATCAATTTGTTAAAAATTAATTCTCAAGTTTGGCATGCAATTTACTTATTGGAGTTTTTCCAGCTTAGATACCAATAATCTTGGTTGCTAAGAGAGACTTTAGAAATCAACCTTCAAACCTGATTATGATCATAGTTACCTTTTAGTAAATGAATTTTTATTTTTAAGCAAGGGGTCTGAGTAGATATACAAATGGACCCACATATACTCACCATATTTTTGGGTGAGGGACAAAGAAAGAACTTTTTCTGTTATTGACATGGACATCTGGGTGGAGGCAAGAAAAGTTTAAAGCTAAACATTTTGAGGACAATTTCATGATTTGTCCCATAGCAAATCTACACATAAAAGATAACGGTGTAACAACTTAATTAATTAGGACTCTTGAGCAGAGAGTGTAGGGACTCAGAGAAAAATAAATTGAAATGAAAAGCCTCTTTTAATAAGGATTGGCCAGGGGGTGCCTGGGTGGCTCAGTTGGTTAAGCCTTTGCCTTCAGCTCAGGTCATGATCTCAGGGTCCTGAGATTGAGCCCCACATTGGACTCTCTGCTCAGCAGGGATCCTGCTTCCCCCTCTCTCTCTGCCTGCCTTTCTGCCTACTTGTGATCTCTCTCTCTCTCTCCCTCGGTCAAATAAATAAATAAAATCTTAAAAAAAATAATAGGGATTGGCCAGAAATCCCTTCCTGTTCCCATCCTTAAGAAAAACCTTTCTACAGGGGTCTT